GAAAAGCTTTATCGCCGAACGCCGCTCTTGAGATTCGAGAAGTGCACTTGAAAAAGGACATGGAACGTGTCGAATACCCCGGCGATTGACGACTTTCGGATAGCAGTTGATCAGTGAGAAAGAACGCGGGCCATACTAGTAACAGTACCATATTCGCTTGATATAGTCCGTGTGTGTTTGGGTGCCATAGTTATTCCACAAGAATGCTCGAGTGTGGGCCCAAAGGTCATGCCCAGGCGGGAAGTTACGAACCCGCAACCTTACGCTTTCGTGCGACGTGCCGCTCATCCATACGCCACAAGGGCCGCTTCTTACCCTCTCAGCTTACACGGCTTTTATGCCGTAGCTATCTCAGCACTGTCACACGTTTAGACTTGCGTGTTGGCATAGTTCGTTTTTCGCTTTTTGCCTGCAGCAGGCTGATGGGGCTTATCAGGGGGAGAGGGGGGGACTGGCTTTAGCGGTACGCCAACCCATTTCCCACCAATTGCTGAAGCGAACAAGCGGCAACGGTTGGTAGAAAACGGGCTGGCGGCCGCGCGCCAACTTCACGTTAGCGCAGGGTACAGCATCGCTGTGAAATGTTAGTCGCAGTTGATCCCCCTCCCCTTTACTAGCACCTACTTAGCACTTTCCCACCTTTTCCAATTCTTCACCATCCCCCCCCACTTCCTATCACTTTTTCCGAAATTTCCCGAGGAGCCGTCCTACTTTCCCCCAAAAATATAATATTGCTGATCGAACGGGGGGGGGGGAATAACATGAACAGGAAAAATTGAAATATCAGAGAAAAGTCAACGACGGGGAAAAATTTTTTTCAAAGCGGCAAATTTCTCTCAAAGTCACATGAGACCCCTCTCCTCCCAACAACGACCAGACCTCCCACCCAGCGACCAAATGCGACCCCCCTCATGCGTTCCACACAACGAGGCTGTACCCTGCTCCAGCGGTCCAAAGCCGACTATGTGTTGTGTTTGCCACAAAGTTCATAGCGGAGCGTTTGAAGCAGCCTTGGTTATCAAAAATTATTGTAAGCTGCCTGAGATAGGACATTGAAGAGAGAGCGAAAGGGTTGGCGATAAGCTAGAACTGGAATTTGGGCCAAGCCGTTTATAACCGTAATACAGGGATCGATATGTCTCAAGTATGAAGGTTTCATTTGTTCAAGCACAATTCATTTGTATTTTTCTATATCAGCAGCGACTACATACCGATCGCTAAAGTGCTGTGCCGATTTCCAGAAGTGCTTGGCTTTCACTGCTGCCTTCATTATTTTTTATCAACGATTTCAACGAGAACCTTTTGAAGTGTCTCACTCGTGTGCAATAGTGCAGTAGGAATTGAAGGATTCTCGGTTACGTCAGTGGATTCCAGACTTCGTAGTCCAGCTGATAGTAGGACTTCGTCGGGCTGCTGGCGGATTGCCTATGTGCTGACTGGGATTACAGATGTGCTTTTGGATCCAACTTAGAGAATATAACAGCAACAGCTATTGTAGGACCTAATGTTCCATGAGACAGTTCACTTCAATGAGGGCTGCCGTGTCGACTGCTGCGGTCGCCCAAATTGATATGATCTCTGCAAACGATGAAACGAATGAGGATGGGGCGTGTAACGGCACGTGGATTGGAGCCAAAACCGTCTTCTCCGATTATCCCAACGATGTAATCCTGAGCCCGCAACCCGTGACGGCGCTAAATGCTGTCATGGCTGCCTTTTCCTACTCGCGCCCCTCCACATGCTCATCGTTTACAGGAACTATGACCATAAGTTGTCTCCTTATCCCCGAGCCAGAGTAGGCGTGGCATTTGAACATGGCACGGAACTGGTGCCACGACCACTCGAATATTCCATTCTGGGACAACTGTCACCTTGTTCTGTGTTGGCTAGGGACACGACAACCAATTGCGTCAGGCAATGAAAATATCTCACAGATGCGCATTAGCTCCTTCGCCGAAGCATGCAGGCGACCGCCTATCCGATTTCGGGCATTTGTACACGTAAACGTTGCTTACTTCACTGGCCTTTTCGTGACGATATTGGCACACCCTATTTCACTGGTCAAAGGTGCTCCTTGCGACCCAAAAATCTGGTAAACAAACCTCGCTCCTTACTGAAGACGTTTACTGCTAATCAGTCTACTTCAGCACAATGGAAACTCTTTGGTATGGAACCGGGATAGGAACTTGATCCCCATAAAGGTGGGCAATGTTAAAACGTGCCAGCGAAAGGTAACTGCTACGCTCGTCTTTCTTCTTCGTTAGTTGCCTCTGTTATAGAAGGTGCTGAGTATGAGCTCGTGTGATCTTTTCTTTTCGAGCGCTCGGTGTGCTTTCGCGTTTTTACAGCGATTTCTGAGCAACGGCTTGGCTTTCGCTCTCAAACAAACATTTTTCAGTATTTCAATGTAATTCCAAAAAGTTAGTAGTTTTCAGGATGACGACCGATCAATTCCTGCTTGTGTTGCTGATAGCGTTTCATATATGGTGTATTTGCTACTCAACTTCAATTCCATCCATTGGATATGTGGAGTGTTGAGGCGACCAATCGTCCCGTGAGGGAACCATAATGCTTGCTCACGACGAACCTCCAAAAAGTCATTGCCTAGTCCATCGAATCAAGGAGCAATAACCATTGATCATGACGATCCAGTTCCGAAAATGGTCCAGTTCACATGAGTAACGACTTCCCAAATTTGTCTGTTCTATACAAGAAAAAACTTAATCGTATTGTAACGTGCTGTAGCTCATTTAGTACACGAACCCACTATAGATTCGAATAACTTGCTAACTAAGAACTTCCTTGAACATTACCGGTATGTGCTCAGTTAATTCTGCAGGTGCGAAATTTTCAATAAAATTGTAAAGGTTCTCTACTGTTTGTAGTTTTTTTTATTTCGATTTGATAACCTACCCCTAGGTTACTCTTGGCGGAGTCGAGTAAAGGGTCGTGCACATTTGAAAAAAATCTCTGTGCAATTATCCACCCTGAAGAACGAGGTAGAGGAGCTAGTGGTATGTCCCGGAGGGAAGGAGTCTTTGAGTGCACTATAGAATCCTTTGGTTTTTGTAGTTTGCCTCAGAAGATGAGCGGAAATAATAGGAAGAATACAGAAGCTCAAAGACACAACGCAGCTCAGCTGTGAGGTGCATCCTTGGCATGTCCGGGGTTAACGGGTCCCCAGCTATCGAAGCGTAGAGGTTTCCTCGTCCGAATGCAGGATGGGGATCCGGGACGGTAGGAAATTTGATTCTTCCATGCTCCGCCTAAAAAGCAACCTGAGGCGCAGACACGCTGCACGCCGCTACCATATACCGACCCCGTCTACACTGAACGGCGGCAGCTCGTGTTGCGCGAGGCTCTACTGGCACTTCGCCAAGTCTTGTAGTTTGCTTTTCAAATGCAATTAAAACGCCAACAGCTGAAGCGGATGGCAGTTTAGGCGTTGCTCATGTTGCACACTCTGAACCAGATGATGACGAAGGCTAGAATTGAATAGCAACTAACGTAAATATAAAGAAAATAAATAAACGTGTAAATAAATGTAAGCCAACCAAACTTGTGTAATTTTCGTGATTCTGACCCGAAAGCCATAAAAAAATTCAACAAGTAAAACGCTCAGGCCGTTCTTGGTCTCCTGTTTGGTGGAAAGCCAGAGTTGCTCTTCGGTTCTAGCCCTCTTCATTACCTGATTCACAGTCGCAGCATGAGCAATGGATCAGTTGTCATCTGCATCAAGGATTTGCTTTCAGTCGTATTCAAAAGCTTAAACGACAAGACTTGGCAAAGTGCCAGTAACGCCTCGCGTAACACGAGGTGCACAGACGGCCGGTAAGTATAGATGGAATCGAGTTATGGTAGAGGCGTGGAGCGTGTGCGCCGCAGGTTGCTTTCAAGGCGGGCATGGAGAAACTAGCCTATCCCACAGTCCTGGATCCCATCATCACCCGCACATGAGCGAGGAATCCGCTACGCTTCTATAGCTGGAGCCCATTACTTTTCTTCTGATCCTTAAATTCCATTGCCGATGTATTACCCAATGATTTTTTTTTTCGAAATCTTGAAATTTTGAAAAAAAGGGCCCCCAACTGGACAAAGCGTGTCTCAAATGGAAAGGGCAAGCGACATTTCCCGTGTTGCCATTTCTGGACACGGCCGACTGTGCGCACAAGCCGGCCACAACATGCCTAACAAATAAACAACACGCGCTACGGGTCTGCCGCCCTCTCGTAATATAGGCTGTCTCTGGTCCTTGGCTGTGTGTTCTGCACCGCGAGCGAGATCACATCTGAGTACCATTACCCTCCAATCTATTCAGTCCACTCCCTCCTAGAGTGTTACGCTGCCAACCCGTTTCCTCTCGTCCACGGGGAACGATCTTCCTACCCTTCCGAGGGTGAGTGTACAGTTTGCTTTTTGAAGATGAAGCTAGAAGCTTACTTCGAATTGCCCTCGTGACGAGTGCGAGCTATGCAAACCTCCTGCTATACCTGTGTTTAGTAAGAAATTAATTAGATAGCTAAAATTCTGAGACAAATGTGCGGAAATGTAGGAATTAACAATTTATATAACATGACTAATGATATTAGTTTCTTTACACGCATGTAAATGAACCTGTGCCTATACGATAAATTATGCAGTCTATAAGTCCATGTCGAGATGGATCTTACAATCAGTTTAACATCTCGTCCTCACAAACTTCTGTACTTACAAGTGAACATCAACACATGAAGGGTGACTGTAAGTAACAGAACTCGCAAAGCTCCCTATCGATCGACTTTACACAAAATTGGCCATTCGAAAAAAGCTTCCCTATCGATCGACTTTACACAAAATGGCATCGAAAAATTTCTTTGCACAACTTCTCTGCACCGGAAAAAAGGTCCTTGCATTCCCCGCCTGTGACTTATCGGGAGCGAAAAAATTGGAGCCTAACAAAAAAAGAAGAAGATAAAGGCTCTAAACTCTCCACTACTAATTGTTGGCTTGTGAAGAACTGATCACACCGCAAAGCGCTTGTGGACCGCTGAGTTTTCGTCATCAGTGGATTCGCTGCGATCCCTCAAGCCAAGGTTCTTTTCACTTTTTTGATATAGAGCTTCTTCGAGATCTCTGACTTCGCCACGAAGAGGTGTTTCGGGATGAATTTTGCTGTCGAGTTTCTCCACTGACGTCATAGACTGCAACATTGCACTTTTACTGCTCGCCGCACGGAATGCAGCGGATTTCGTCCATGGCGCCGGCTCGCTGCTAGCCAGGAACAGGAATGGGATGTTACATACGAGCACGAAGAAGCCAACGCCAAGAAACAGACGTGACCACTGAAAATCGACTATTAATTACAGAAGAAATCTTTAGTGCAATGTCTGTTTTGGTTTGATAAGTGCTGTTTAAGCAGTGCGCGCTCCGAAAGTTATCACAAGAATGCTGAGATATTGGCAAAAGTCGGACCCGGGACGGGACTCGAACCCGCATCTCCCGCTTACCGGGCGGTTGCTTATCCATTACGATACCGGGGCCATCTTGCCCATAACCTTACAGCTATGGCGCAAAATGCCATTGAGCCTTACAGCTTTCGCGCAAAATGCCATTGAGCCTTTCATCTATGGCGCAAAATGCCATTGAGTTGAAAAACGGAAAAAATGGCCCGGTGGCGTAATGGATAACGCGACCGCCCGGTAAGCGGAAGATGTCGGTTCGAGTCCCGTCCCGGATCCGACTTTTGCCAATACCCTGGGGATCAGGTGTACAACCGTATCTTACTCATTTGTGGGCTCTTCGCGTTTACAAGTGTGTAGGAACGATCCTCAAATGAGTGAAAAGATCAATCCGATGACTGCGGTGAGTCTGTCCACTGTCCATGAGACCCACAGAGCCTTCGTCTTTCGAAGATCAGTTTCCCACTCAACCGAACGAAACCTGGTAAATCTATCCTCCTCTGATATGCTTCACAACAGCTTTGTTATACCGCAACCAAGTCAGGTCCAAATCAGTCGGCCCCCACCTGCTGCTCTTTTCCAACCACTCGCGTTGTTTTCTTCTTAACCACTGCCCGATGCACCACCTGGTATAAAAAAGGCGACCAGAGAGGTGCCACCACAGAGCACAGGAACTGCAATTGGTATGTTACGTACTGTAATCTTAACTGATCTTGAATGTACCGTGCCTTCGAACTAAGACGCTCGGTGTGCATGACTATCGAGAAAGAAGGCAGGATAGGCGGTAGTCGTATTATCCATCATTCCCTCTTAGTCCTTGTTATCCCACCGGTAATATCATTCCATGCTAAATCTAACCTTGATATGGAGGAAGGCGTCTGGGGTTTGCAAGACGGAACTCAATGTACTGTATATTCAGCTCAGAACCTTCCCAGTTAAGCTTTCGCTATGGTACTATATCTTGTACAATTTTGTCTTGTACTATTCGTTGTTCTTTACTTTTTCTATTGGTAAGCTTTTCGCTGCGACACAGCCCTTTTGCCCAAAATGACCTGCGCACAATTTTGTTTTCATATAGTTTTCCATGCCCAAGTCCACATCTCGCATCCAGGTCGGGCAACCTGAGGAAGTTGGATGACCCCCGCCTCTGTGTGGCCTTGCTTTACCAGTGGCCTACCTGGCTACCGGCTAGTAATCAATTCAGAAAAAGAGCAACCCTGCAGAAAAGTTCGAGCAACGTAATTTCTATTGTTTTCTGTTTGTCCAGCTCTACTGGAAATGAATATGTTGACTTGACTAATAATAAGCCATTAGGAATTGTGCCTACGAGCTTATCCATGGCTATTATTTGGGCAAAGTAGGGCGACTGCAACTGGGAGAATGAAGCAAATAACGCATCCACCAATTGTCACACATACCATTACGAAGTGCACATGCTGTCGAGCAACCTGAACGAGACCGATCATTTCCAAGCTTACAAGCCGAAGATGTGAACAATTACTGATCTTACCACTTGAGCGCACTTGATCGAACCAACAATATTCAAGCCATTGAACGCGACTGCTGCAGTGTATGCAATTTGAGCAACGAGCTTGTTTGAAACCTTGAATAAATAAACTTAAACTTGAGATTGCGCTTTAAAGGCTTTTTTTCAGGCTATATTCTTGAAAAAAATAACAATAACTAAACATGACAATCAGTAGGATGACATGAAAGTTGTAGCTCAATGAAAAACATCTGTCGTTTACGTGCCTCTCATGCAGGATAGCTGCACAGTTCGCTTCTCAGCTGCTCAATGAAGAGCAATCTTTTCGAAAATAGGTGTATTTGCCCTTCAAAATTGTCTGATTGAGAAGAAAGGTAGAGGGTTGGTGCTTAAGTGCGGTAGCCCCTACCTCGCAAATTTTTGCAAATGGACAAGGTTGTCCTCCGTGCTTTGCCCAGGACTCTGATTCTTATGTGTGCTCTCAAAAGGCGCTTTTAAAGGCAAGTGGCACGATAAATGGACAATAAACTATAAACTCAAAGTAAAATCAGCACCAAAAAACAGTGTGACCCTGAATGGGTGATGCGTGGTTGATTTAGAAGCAAGAACATCCTAACAGCGCCCTATCAAGGCGCAGCATGCCGACCCAGACGCCTACCGCAAGCGCCCGGTCCGGGAGAGGGCCTACAGCTCCATCTATGCTGACCCTCTGAGCGCTCATTCACAAACTACCGCTGATACAAAACGGCTGTGGTGCTGCGTGGACATATGAATATACAGGGGGGGGGGGGCAAAAAAAATTTTTTCTTCTGACTTTCGAGGCGCTATAAGTTACACTTTATTAAATTCTTATCGGACATTTCTACCACCATATTAAAGAGCATATTAAATACTATCATGACACTCCGCCACAGCCTTCTGGACGAGCGCCATCGAGAGATTCTGCCACGCAACCGTGGTCGGTGCCTGAGTTCAGCGAGATCGTTGATTTCTCCGCCACCCTATTGAACTCCGCCCGAACCAGGTAATTGAGGGGGTTTAGGTCAGGTGACCTGCTTAGATATTCCACCTTCTTCAGGTACTCAACGCCCTTCCATTCCAAGTAGGCAAGAGTTTTCCCAACGCCCTTTGATTCCATGTGGTGTCACCCAATCCTGTAGCAGTACAAAGTTTCCAAGAAGGTACGGGCGACGACATGTGGAGAGGATATTCTTCTCGAGTTGCTCGATGTAACCGCCAGCGCTCACCTTCAGTCCGGGGCCCACGAAGAAAATATCGGTCTCTCCATTCCAGGTACGTCCGGTCCCCACCATCAACTGGCGCCTTGGCGACTGAGGTGAAGATGATGTGTAGCGACGTTGACGGAGCTGCTCGATGATGGAGGTCTTCCAGATCGAGAGTACTGGTCTCCAGGTAGCTATCCATGGGTGACTCCATAGAAGTTTCGCAGCTGTTTGGAGGTGACATGAATTCCAAAGGTCTTCTCCAGTCAGGCTGCGACTGGAGATGACTTCATATTTTGGTGTACATGAAGGTGATGGGCGAGAGCCAGCTCCTGCTTATCGAGGAACATCTTGGGTATCTTCCGCCCTGGTACTCGTATCCACGTCCTCTGTCTGGGCTGCGAAAACTTTGCTGATATGTGACTCGGTCGAAATGTTTTTTTGCCCCCCCCCCCCCTGTACGCACGAAGCCGCATATCGGAACGGTTGTTGGCACGAGAACAGCGGAAGGCTCGGCCGAGATTACTTTCTATTAGCTGCACACGTCCAATGTCGTGCGGAACAACGGTTTTAGAGCACTCCACTTCTCATCATTTTCATACTATACACCAGTTGAGATCAAATATGAATTATTGAGCTTAATGCCTTTGAGATGAACTGAAACCATTCCAGCCCCTACCACCACCCTATGCTTCCCCAGTTTTCAGATTTTGGTCAGGGTGCTTAGGAATTTGCCTTATAGCTAGTACTAGAGAATATGGTGATATGAAGGGTTTTTGCAACAAACAGATTGCACATGAGTGTTTAGGGCGCATACTATTAGGTTGGCCGATAAGTAATGGCCGTTTTTTCAATCGAAAAATTTGTTTTAAAGGTGAACTGTTTTGCAAGCAAGCTTAATATCGTTTAATAGCAAACTTCTCGTAGTATTAGAATATCAAATTCAAATTCAATTCATTCAACTATTAGCATGAAATTTCAAGTAAACGTAAATAGAGGCAGCTTGTCGAGTAGCTACAGTACCCGCCGTAAGTGTTCAAAAAATTACGAAAAAAACGCCGATCCGCGTTTTTTCGTTTTTCCGTTATAGAGCTGTTCCTGTTGATTTTTGTATGGATACCCATATATGGCTAGAATCAGCTCGCCGAGCTGTATCCGAGGGTATGCTCATATTCTACGACGTTGGGTTTTGGCCGGCGCCATTTGGCGCCACTTTGCGACACCTTAGCGCCACAACTTTTCTCAACAACATCTGTATAAACTTGCTTACTGGGGCTATTCAGTGCCCTGTTCACGAAAGTGACATTCATTTCTAGCCGTGGCGCCATTTGGCGCCATTAGGTGCCGATTTGGCGCCACTAGCGCCACATTGGCGACACGACCTTTCCCAAAAAAATCCGTATAAACTTGCATAATGGGGTTTCTCGGTGCCCTGATCACGAATGTAACATTCATTTCTAGCCATGGCGCCATTTGGCGCCATTAGGTGCCAATTTGGCGCCACTAGCGCCACTTTGGCGACACGACCTTTCCCAAAAAAATCTGTATAAACTTGCATAATGGGGTTTCTCGGTGCCCTGATCACGAAAGTAACATTCATTTCCAGTCATGGCGCCATTTGGCGCTATTGCGTGCCAATTTGGCGCGATGCCTTGGTCGGCTCAGACTGTATGTGTTATAATGGTCACGTGAATGTGAACTATAAAGACATACAGTAATCACGTGAACAAGCGGCTATGGTGAGCACAGCGCCGCCAGCGCCGCAAGCTCACGTGATTTATGTATGCTCTGCAAATGACGATCACGTGACCATTCCAGAAACCAGGCTGCGAGTTCATAAAGATTTTGGTGAAAAAAGTAATGGCGCCAAATTGGCACCAAATGGCACCGAACGGCGCCATGGCTAGGAATGAATGTTACATTCGTGATCAGGGCACCGAGAAACCCCATTATGCAAGTTTATACGGATTTTTTTGGGAAGGTCGTGTCGCCAAAGTGGCGCTAGTGGCGCCAAATCGGCACCTAATGGCGCCAAATGGCGCCACGGCTAGAAATGAATGTCACTTTCGTGAACAGGGCACTGAATAGCCCCAGTAAGCAAGTTTATACAGATGTTGTTGAGAAAAGTTGTGGCGCTAAGGTGTCGCAAAGTGGCGCCAAATGGCGCCGGCCAAAACCCAACGTCGTAGAATATGAGCATACCCTCGGATACAGCTCGACGAGCTGATTCTAGCCATATATGGGTATCCATACAAAAATTCAACAGGAACAGCTCTATAACGGAAAAACGAAAAAAACGCGGACTGTCGAGACCCATCGAATGATCTCAATCTCAAATCTATTGGGTTGGCACATAAGTAATGGCGTTTTTTTCAATTGAAAATTTTGTTCCAAAAGTGAAATGTTTTGCAAGCAAGCTTGATATCATCTGATAGGAAACTTCTCGTAGTATTAGAATATCAAAACAGCTTCGGTTGAGGGAAGAGTTTTGTGGATTTTTCAGTCGTTGAAGTTGAAAGTGAAGTCGGCGAAAATTAGCACCTTCGACAACTGCCTCTATTTACGTCTACTCGAAGTGCTAAAATCGCTTAAGCTGCTCCATACATTTGGAAAAGGTTGAGCTAGAAGTCTCAGCAAGGGAATCTCAATAGGAATTTCAAGGAATTTCAAATTCAACTAATTTCAAGAATTTCAAAGTTGGCAACCTTCACCTTGCCAATATTGGGCAGGCTCACGTCTGTTCCACCTGAAATTTCATGCTAATAGTTGAATTAATTGAATTTGAATTTGATATTCTAATACTACGAGAAGTTTGCTATTAAACGATATTAAGCTTGCTTGCAAAACATTTTACTTTTGAAACAAATTTTTCAATTGAAAAAACGGCCATTACTTATCGGCCAACCTAATATAATGGGAATTTTCATGCCAGTGCAGTCTTCAGAGGGGCATTCCGATCCGAATCGTGTTTTTCAAAGTAGGGCGCCAAAATACACATAGTGTTGAATTTTCTCCGAATAGTATGAGCATGGTGGTTCTTCCTCACCTGTGAAAGCACGAAGAAACCCATCATCATGACACCTTGTGATAGCGATGCGAACATGATCATACGATTCTTCTCGGAAATGGACGTAGTATGGTCGAATATCGGTCCCGCGATGAATTTTAATATCAAACAGAGTGCATATGGCAGAGCAGTGGCGAATCCAGTCTCAGTTATATCGAGTCCCAGAGCCTGAAAAGGCTAAAAAGTTGCAGAGGTTGTTCATCATAGTCCGGAACAACTTGAGGAGGCTTTACCCTGCTCCTTCACTCACCTGGTTGATAAATGTCGGCCCATAGTGCAAGAAGATGAAAAATGCTGTGTTGCCACCAAATGTAGTCAGGAGAACGGCTTGCATACAGCGATCGAGACAGATTTCTTTGTAAGGGACAGGCTCTCTAATTGACTGCCCTTCTCTTCCGTGAGATATGGCTGACGCTTCTCTCGGACTCACCAACCTGGAAGATGATTATTAGGACAAGCACCGATTTTTGTAGACGTAACTTTCAGCATTGTTTTTAATTGTAGGATTTTTGGTCATATTTGGCGTCTGAGATTCTTTTGCTTGTCTGCACAACTTGCATTGCTTTGGAAGTGCTATTTCGCTATCTAAAGGTAGACCTCACCAGGATGAACTGGAGAATGAGTGCCAGTGGAGAAGACTAGTATTTCGAACTTTTAAATTTGTGCTTCAAAATGTGCCTGTATTCAGATAGTAAGGAAGTATTTCTTGATAGGAGCTCGTGGATACTGGAGCCCACGTATTCCTTGATGCCAGCCCATGGTACCTTCTAAATTCTTCATGGTACATTCTGCTAATGGACTCATCACTCAATCATAAGTACATGAAACCGTCGAAAAATTCCTAAAATAGGGCCTCCATTTTGGACTACTACACGAAGGAGTGAAAAACCGAAGGATACAAAAACAAGAAAACGAGCTTGAAAATGAGCGAAGCGAGGAGTCAGGTGCCATCCTATTTGGGGTGCGTACCTTTATGTCCTTCCGTGAACCAAGAGAGGATTTTTCATGATTTTCCTCGGGCTCAGTGGAGTCTATGCCTCCTTTGCCAGACTGCACAACTCTGTCCGCCTGCCCTCCATAAATGAGGGAACTAATAAGGCCTCCAGTTTGGACTACTACAGGAGCGAAAAACTGAAGGATGCAAGAACAAGACAACGAGCCTGAAAATGAGCGAAGCGCAAAGTCGGAGGTATCAATTTCTTGATCAGCAAAAAGAAGCATAGGCGTGGATGAGCGTCACTCCACATATGCTTTAACGTCCACAACCTTCAGAGAGCCATTGACCGGCTTAGTAACTGGGCAAAAACATGGCAGCTTCCTCTCGCCCCGCATAAAACGCTTTGCATGAGAATTTCTTGAATTCGGGAGCCATTCCTTACCCGTACACCATAGATGGTGTTGCCGTTTCCCCAGTCAACTCTGTTAGGGACCTTGGCTTTCGTTATTCCAACACTTTAGACTTTTCCGAACAAAAACCGATGTAACTCGGCTTTTCTCAGGACGCTTCATATTTTCAAGGGTTGGTCCTCTACCAACAAGTCAGTCCTGCTTAAAGGCAGCGCCCGCGTTCAAATTTAATGAGTATGCGGCTCAGGTAGTAATAGCGAGGTAGCAAGAAGCCTATTAGTGAAGAAAAATCGAAGAGAAAACA